ATGATGTATTAAAGCATTAAATAATTAAGAATATCTTTTTTTTATTCAATAGATCTGAGTAGGACAAAAAAGTTTTTTCTAAAAAAAAATGAAAACATGAATTTGTAACGTTTTTTGGCCGCTATTTTCGATTCAGAACCTAGTGTAGGGCACCGTAGTTTAGGCAGCCATACTGGATCTAGAATATGGATTCGCTACATATGCCACTCGGCATCAAAAACTAGAGGAACCACACCTATTGCTTGACTACCTAAAGAACTCTTATAAATCAAACCAAGTTTGACGAAGGGGGGTCATTCCTTCACAAAGAATGCCTTGGAATTGCATCTATTCGAAATATCATATTACATTAATCCTAAAATAAAACCATTAACTGAACCAATCAACATTCTAGCTTTATTTTCGAGAAATTGATTTAAAGCAATTCCTTCCGTAACTAGTACATGGCAATGCGAAATGTATTTATAATTTTGAGTTTAAAACATCCACATGAACATAAATAATTCATCTAAAACCCACCCGAGGACACAGTGCGGCAGGGAACAATCGCTTAACGAGTGTGGGAACTTGCGGAATACGCGGAACGAGCGACCGACGCATGTTACCGGGCGGTGACGATCTGGCATTGAAACAATAGCCCGGTACACCCGGCACCGCGTAAACAAATTGGATGCTTAAAATTCAATTTGAAGGTTTCGCGGTCTGCTTCATTCGCTCTCCCCGTTCGTTACAAACAAGCTGGACTGGACATATCCAAATGCAAACGCAATTATTTTGCCGTAACTTGGGTATCTTTAAATGTTTATGGCCAGAAAGCATGCTGCTTGCGTGTACAATAGACGTTGGTGTTTATAACTTTTCATGACTTGATTACTATCTATTATAATTTCTTGGAAATTTGGAGGCATTCCAGTCCATATTTACAATACTAAGATTTCAATTTGTCTTGAAAAAGAAAAGAACAATGTTAAGTAATCAAATACATTTTTTTACTGTTTTGTAATTTATACGATAGAAATCTTTAAATTCAAACTATACCTGCACCGTCCTGCTTCTCATATCTGAGTTTGGCTTTTATTATTATGATACAGTTGTGTTTAAACATAAAACGGAAATCTCCAATCATCGGTAACACATTATATTCACCAATCACATGTAATCTCATGAAATAATAAGAAATAAATCAACTCTCTGCGGAGTTTAATATCCAAAAATCGGACCTAATTAAAGATATACGCAAGTACCCTACTTAAAAATTACTTTATGTATATAACAGCATCTTTAAATAAAACGAAATTGCGATGGATACCGTACGAAGAAGAATTTCAAGTTGAAGTAACTACTACGAGTAGATCAAGTTTCTTACCTCGAGACTCACAAAACTTTTTGGAATAAGTTCAAGTTTCCTCATGCTGAAAATTGATAAGTACTTGTATGAATAATAATTTTATCTGTATAATTTAAATTAGTACATCGATAACAACTCTATTGTCGATATTAGTATGGGTGATAAATGTATAAGACGTTTCTTATGAAGAAACACTACGTAGATTTTGACTTAAGCTATGAAAGATGCAAGATGCATTTGAATACGTAAATATATGATCGATATATGATCATCGTCAATGCTTTCTACAACTTTGCTAATCGTGTATTCTTCGGTAAAGTTTTCCAATATTGTGAACGTAACAAGTTTACATGTAAACCAAATCCGACAATGTACGAAACGAGGAAATGCAGATACTTTTCTTTAATTTATTTATACATATATTATATAATTCGACCTGAATTTATTACTCTTAAGTTTATTTTTATTTTATTTACAAGTTTATGCACTAGAAATCAATAGGTCGACTTGCAATAAGTCCGCTTTGTCTACCTGCCAACCTTTGGGTAGTGAAGAAGTACATATTTTATTGATTACCAAGAGATTGTCAAACCCACAACACCTGACGCTATGGTGCTGACACATAGTGTGGTAGTGTAGATTCAATCCCTTGTGTAAGAAATACAAAGATGACTACATACTTGTTAAGAACAGCTTGCCTGGGTCAAAGTTTTTAAAAGCTATCATGAAAGTTAAACACAAGCATGATTTTACTACATTGCATATTATTATGGTAAAATTTGTGGGAACATTATCATTCTTGACTTCTTGTTACAGTTAAATAAAAAATAATTGAAATAAAGTTCTTGCAATGGTTTTACTAACTTTGACCTGTGTTTTTTTTAAACCCCTTTAAAATCGTAAGTTTACAGTAAGTAGATTTTCAAACACTAAGAAATCTGACATAGATCTGAATAAATTTCTAACTTTAGCTTATAAACTTTCATACTGAGGTATTTATACCTAAAAATAAACGACTCAATACCTGTCACTCGGAATAGATTTAGTCAAATCGGTGAATTAATGACCGGGCTGTATGTCAATAGAAATGGTCTACCACTGCTATTTCACGAAGCCAGGTTAGTTCAGGTCTAACACTCCACGAAGCTTTGCCAGGAAGCAACCGAACAGACTAAACGAATAGGTGTCACAAGGTAGAGGCACCTAAGTAAGCACTTTTTTATTTTTTATTTATCTATCACAGTTTCGCATAAGTTTATTTTTATTTCACTCCGTGCCACAGTTTATGTTAGTTCGTTATTTAAGTTACCAGGAAGAAAGAGTTCTCAGTAAATTTAACAAAAAGGAGACAATATATTAAATATCGGGACTGCTCCAATACAGGAGACTCTAGAGGATTCCTCAAAAAAGTTTCAAATTGAATAATTAAAACCACAGACAGTTGAATTTCAATTCTTTATTCGACACCATATTAATGCATTCCATTTAAACACCAAATTGTAACAAAATGCTGATATTTGTAACAGCTACAAAATTATATATTAACTATCTAACATTTAACATAACAATAAATAAATTATAGTATAACAATAATAAACATATGAATAATATAACAACTAGTTTCACAATTCCTCTCAGGTTGTCGAGCATTACTCTTATCTAGAATATCAAGATTGTTTCAATAAAATAATATTAATTTCAAAAACATTAAAAATAAACCTTACTTAGTTGTTTTATTTAATGAAATATCTACGAGTATTAAAAGGGTACCCGTTTAACTCTCACTTAAATAAATGCATTAAAATTTAATAATAAAAAGAATGTGTGTGTATTATCTTTACACATTTCACAAGGGTATTGAATCAGAAAAAATGAACTTTACTCAAAGAATCGAGAAGTAAAACCAACGACAAATTAATTGTTACAACTAATTTGCTTGCAAACATAAAGGAATATTTCGCGATTCTCTAAGAAATCAATATACAGAAAGATTATGACACTTGCATTCGGCTTAACTGTATTTGGTGTGTAGAATTGACACCATTCTGAATTTTATATCTTGAATATTTTGAGCATTCAAGTTACCTTTGATACATATTATTATTGGCGTTATACTTTTTTATAAATATACTACGAACTACTTAAACACAAAATAGAGTATTGGAAGTATTTATATTCAATTCCAGATCAAATTTACATTTCATGAACGTACGAGATGTGTAAATAAAATTTGAAAAGTTCACATTTTGTCACAATGTGGAAAATGGCATTACTTTTAAGTATTAATTAATCACCATTAGTTAATCATCATCAATTCCTGTGAAGATAAAAATATGGACGAGTACGGAGGAACCAAATATTTGGAGTTAGTAAATTGAAGTAAAGGATAATGTGTAAAGAAATTCAAACTCGAAATTATGATCCACATCACGTCTGTTATCACAATAATTTCATGTTTCATACAAATTGAAACTAATCTTTACCTATAAAAGAGTAGTGAAAACAAATCCATTTAGCCTTAATTTTTGTCTTAAAAGAATAATTAAATGGACTCAAAGTTATTTTCTCAAGTTTATATTTGACCCTCAAAATAACTAAATATTATGAATACATAGATGACTTAATCATGTCGGCGTACGGGCAATACTAATTTTATCTAAATTCTCAACTTAATAAATTATGTTTTCGTGTTAGACATCTTAAGTTTTACTCATCTTAAAAACGATTTGGAGGACAAACGTGCAGAATTTGTGGTCTATTACCCTGATTACCTCTTTGAAAACATGAAACATAAAAGTAGTAGAAATGTTCAACGTACTCGTCCACTATGTAATAAGTTTTCAATATTTACTTATCAAAAACTACTCAAAATTAATACACCTCACTTAAAATTAACTTTACAAAAAATTACAACATATGCAAAGTTTTTTAAACAATCTTTATTTATAATAGGTTTTTATCCTACATATGTACCTGAAACACGTTGATATAAGTATGTACATCTAAAGTCACTTTGTTGTTAAGTCTTTTGTCACTAAGTTATTGTTATATTCACATTTAATTTATACGTATATATTCACAGGAGCCTACAATTCCATCATTCTAATTCTGACAGCAGAAATAATTATCGGTGTTTATACATGCTTGCTATAACAGACAATTTGGACTTGTGTACTGTATCTTTCTGGCAATTTACAAGACAAATATAAAGTGCTTGACTATGGCCAAATGCTTGGTAAATCAAACCTGATTTTCTCAACGGTTACGTTATCGCCTTTCACGGAATAACTAGGCCGATATTGAAATATTAATATCAATTAACCGAAAGAGACGATTTTTATTCACAATTTAACTAGAAAACGCTCTTCACGCTACGTTCGTACAACATCCTTTGCGCAAAAAGAGATCTAAAGTATAGATGTATTCGCACACAAACAAATTTTACTGCCATAGTTTCAAAACTTGAGACAGAAAAGTTCCACGGGCCTCACTTCTATTTCGCTGCACGCACTGTCGATTACTTAACTTGATATTATATTTACACGTATACAAGAAAAATCCATGCGATTATATGTACACAGTTAAATAACATCACGAATCACAACTTAGTTCGTTTATTAACAACGACCTCGGCGGCAGCGTCGAGGAACCCTCATACGGATATTTCTTGTATTTGCACTCTCTTTTTCATGATACCGGGTGGTGCGGAAGCAGCGGGTGGTGGAGGGGCGCGGAGAATACCACTACCCCCGCCAGCTTCTGGCTCCGCGCCACTCTCCACCGGAGCCTCCGCTCCGTCTGGACCAAACTTTACTTGCGTCGAACTGTCCATCACACGTGGTTCAAACGTGCTCGTGCGGCCTACAGCATCTGTCCGTCCTTCCACATTCTGAATATCAGGTTTCTGCGTGTCTATACACACCACACTTCCAGCTTCAATGGCACTACCAACGCTCACATCAGGCATTGAACTCCGCGCAGCTCGATGTTTCTCATCATAGCAGCTATACTCTCCAAACGTTGGCTCACCACAATCTGATAGCGTCCTCAGATCGAACTTTGAACCAACAGCACGAGGTACATGTGCAGATTTACAGTCAAAACCAAATCCCTTACCATCAAACGCGCGCACTTCGAAGTCGAGTTTGCCATCGTAGTTATCCGAAGAGGAGGAACTGCCGGCTTCCGCAAGGTCGTCCTTGGAGCGGCGAGGCCTAGATCCACGTTGATGATATATACCAGCAAAGATAAGTACGTTGAGGAGGAGTAAGAAGCATCCGACCGCTATTGTGACTGTAAGTGCAGCAGTATAGGACTGGTAGTGTGATGATGCGAGGCGTCGTAATAAAGCATCGTCAGGATGTACTGTCGGTGCAGTCGCGTTAGGAGGACATTCTGTAGAAGGTGGTACAGGAGGCGCACGGGGCGGTGCAGTTCTTGGAGGCACAGTACTTCGGGAACCTGCACCACCACGGCCGCCCTCCATTTCCACCACGTGCGGCACATGCGCCCGTGACATTGTCTGTGGCCTTACAGCACCTGTGAGTTTATATTTAAATTAAATCATTATGAAATTGTAAAACATTTAGGTTCACCAAAAAGCATAGGCCAACGTCATCAAAACAAATTAGAAGTAAACAAGAAAAGACACAATATGGTTTAAACTATAGTATCGGAGCCTCCTCATACAGCATGGTTTTCCAACGCCGGACTCAGTAGAAAAATCACTGTAATCGCAAACAGGTTGAGATCTGGACATATTCTTCTCAATGGGTTTGGATTCCTGATGAAAAAACTGAATTCACTAAACTGTAAGATTTGTGGTACTTTAGAGGATACACTAGAGGATTATAAATCTGACACACTTATTGACGGAGTGTGTTAGATTTCAATCTGAAAGGGAATATCTGATGAAAGAGTTAAATATAAATATTAATAATGTGGGTATGTTCCACCCCATATTGTCTGCGCCGACTTCTAAATCCGCCTCTAGTCTTTGTAAGTTCGAATGATTTAAATAAATTGTAATGTAACAATCTGTATGAGGTACGATGGGACTAACATGTACGAATGTATATGGTCCCTAAGAATAAATAAAGAGGAAAAAGGAAAGACACATTTTAAGATAACGAAGACGAAACGTTTTAATCATAAAAATATTACTAAAAAGTTTACCTTCATAGTAGTTAGCGTTGTTATCTTGAAAATGGTGATGTCTCATCGCGGCATCGGGTAGGTCAGAGCCGGGTCGGTGTAGTTGTGGAATGAGTGACAGCCATAGCGACATTTTGTGGCCGCGGTAGTGACTGCGCATCTCGGGTTTGCTATCTATCCCGTAATAAGTGAGAAGTGAAATAAATGAGTTTTTTTTTTAGTAGTTTATTAGTGAAATAAATAAGTGACCAACTTCCAAATTCGGTGACACAATACTTTAATCTATGTTGATTGCATAGTGTGTTGTTGTGTTTACTGATGATAATCTCTATAACTACTCAAGAAATAAAACTTTCTCGGGACTCTGTCATATATATTAAGTGTAATGCTACGACATTGAATTGTTGAGCTATAAAAGATCCAAGAACAAAGACTCCATAAACAACAGTAAGTTATGTATTCGAATAAACTAATCAGAAAGTTTTTCGTTGTTAGTAAAGCATGGTATAAAAGTATGTTTACAACAGTTACTCACTAATCTCCATATAAAGTTGGTTGATGGTGTCGTAGGTATCCCAAAATGGTGTTTGGTCGGGACCCAGTCTTGGAGTATCACCCAACATTGGACTCGGAGGTGGTGTCGCTGAAGGATCATTCGGGTTTCTAAGAAACATATGAAACACAGATAATAATATGTAAAATAAAATAGGTTCCGCATCTTATATGAAATGCATTTAGAATCTTTATTGTCTTAACTTAATTTAGATAAAAAATAATATTCGCACGCATATTGTACAAATGCTCACAAAGGGTAGGTACCGACTAAACTCTGTACTTATCCTTCGATAGAATAGTTTTATGCACAAGTTTTTTCAACAAACTTTTATTTCTCAAACCAAAGTAGTTTCAAAACCTTCTATATGAAAACAGCTGCACATTAAATGGAGGAACTTTGCAAATATTTCTCAACAAACAGTTTACGTAATTAAGCCTTTATTGGGATCTTGTTTCCCAACAAATTAAATTCGAAATTCCGTCCAAGACCACAAAATTCTTAACTTATTCCACTAAAATAGTTTTGGATTTCGGTTACCTTACAAGACATTAACTCAATAATAATTTAGGTGTGTTACAATATTATGTACTGATTAAAGTTTACGTAATATAGCTCTATAATTTAAATAGTTAACATTACTCTAGGATATTACGTACATTCTCAGAGAAGAATTTAAGAGACTTAGGTATGACACTTCGACTGCTTAATTGAAGATATATTTTTTAAATATTTTCTAATAGTTTTTAAATGTGGTTAAGCTAGTATTATTTTAAAAGCTCTGGCTGTATTAAGCTGTTGTCAAACGTTACATTCTTCTGTTTATTGTTGTGATTTTATTCTGGTGTTTATGTGTATCCTATAATAATAATAATAATAAGTCCCAAAGACTTTTCAAAATAGCCTCAACATACTGGAAATGCCGAAATCCTCTCTCATACTCCTACCAAAAGCAGTAAGAAAAGGTATAAAAGTTAAATATTAATAAAAACTGGGCCCATCTCACACACGGCCGTCTGACCCCAAACTAGACAGAGCCTGTACTATGGTAACCGGACTGCTGATACACATACTTATACATATCTAAATACATACATATTATAGATAAATTACACCCAGACAGGGAACAAATGATCGTGCTCATCACACAATATTTGTCTTAGGTGGGAATCGAACCCACAACCTCCGGCTTAGCAATCAGGGTCACTAACCACTAGACCAACAGGCCCGTCAAATTATTTTTAACGTTTACAAGCATGCTAACACAGCAAAAATGGCTAGCTATTCCGCCTAGTTACAGAACCGGTCCATTACTTGAATGGTTGTCTCTTCACTTCACACATTGTACAATCTTCCAAAAAGTCCCAAGGGCCGTCAAGGTATTTGAAGTAAAACACACTTGCTCAGGACGAGATAAATTTAATAGAAAAGTTACAAAATGTTATATCGTCTCGAAGAATCTTAATATTGCGATCTAAGTTTATGCAACAACGCCATCTATCGAGACGGATGTAAAACATAAACAATGACTAGTTAACATTCCGCCCACCATGGACAAGTGTCCATCGATAATTCCTAGAAACAAAATTTATTATTAACTATGACATAACAAAAATGAGCCGACATGATCTAAGCTAAGGTAACAAAAAAAATTAAACAATCTTACTTTCTAACTTTACATCAACTCAACAAATACATATGGGATAAATCTATGTTGTAATAGGTAGTATAATAAGCTTGGAAATAGGTCGTTTGATAACAGAATCTTTACATTTTAATGAAACGACACGTGTAAGATTGTCCGCACCAATATGTTTGTCTGTTATTATACCATACAACCATCTTGCCGGTGGCAGATCATCCTCTTTTATCAGTACTACGTCCCCTACCTTTGGCTCAGGTGTAATACGTGACCACTTATAACGATGTTGCAATTGAGTTAGGTATTCGTGCGACCATCTGCGCCAAAAATCCTGAAGAAGCCGTTGAGTAAAATGCCATCGTTTAAGAGTGCTCATGTTAGACTTTTCATAATTGGTGTCCGGTACCAGGACTAGGGGTTCACCGACAAGGAAATGTCCAGGCGTAAGTGGATATGGATCTTCCGGGCAGGAACTAATTTGTGTAATCGGACGTGAGTTCAAACAAGCTTCTATTTGACATAGAAGGGTAGTCATCTCCTCGAACGTCAAAGTACTATTTCCTATTATTCGTCTCAGGTGATGTTTTGTGGACTTCACTCCAGCCTCCCAGATCCCTCCGAAATTCGGAGAGCGGGGTGGAATGAAGTGCCAGTTGGTTCCATTAGTTGCCAGGCAATCCCCTATGTCCTTTGCTATTACGGACCCTTCCAGATGAAATGCGTTTTTCAATTCTCTATCTGCTCCTACAAAGTTGGTGCCATTATCACTCCACAGGTCTGCACAATGTCCTCTGCGTGCAACAAATCGCTTAAATGCGGCCAAAAATGCCTCTGAAGTAAGATCACTGACAACTTCGAGGTGTATTGCACGAGTGGCCATGCAGACGAATAAACAAATGTAACCTTTTGTGGAGCGATAACCACGTCCCTTTGTAGGTCTAATAGCGATAGGACCTGCGTAATCAACACCGCTTTGATGGAAGGGGCGGCAAGCAGTTACACGAGCTGTTGGCAATTGGCCCATCATCTGTTGGTTTGTTTGAGCAGAATGACGAATACAAACAACGCATTTATGAACGTATTGTCTCACTAGATTTCGGGCATTCACAATCCAATACTGAGTTCTTAAATAATTTAGCATTAATTGAGGACCACCATGTATGGTACGCTCATGAGCATCTGCTATAATTAGATTTGTCAGATGCGATTTATATGGTATCAATATTGGGTGTTTAACAGCTTCTACGACATTAGCCTTTTGCAGCCGCCCACCAACCCTGAGGATTCCATCTCCATCAAGGAATGGATTAAGCGAGGTAAGTCTACTATTTTTATTTATTTTACCTATCTTTTTTAAACTCTCGATTTCTTCTAGAAAGCCTTCACCTTGACACAACCGTATACAGGTAAGTAACGATTTATTTATTTCATCAAATGTTAGCCAACGCGTGGTTTTTAATTTATTTCTACTAAAAAATCTTCTACAATAAGAAATAACTCTAATAAGCTTTTTTAAACTTGAAAATCTAGTAATAATATCTATACCTTCCGTAGCTAAATGACAAGTAACTTTATCCTTTTTCTTTTCTAAATCTGTTCTTTTCACTATTCCCTTCGGGTAATGGACTGTATTTTCATGTAACCACTTAGGGCCGTTTCTCCATAATTCAATTTCAGATATGTCCCTAGGAGCTAAACCGCGAGATGCGCAATCTGCGGGATTCTCTTCAGATCTGACATGCGACCACTGGTAAGTGTCCGTAATTGTTAGTATTTCAGTTACTCTATTAGCCACGAAAGTCTTCCATTTACTCGGATGACTACTCAACCAAGCAAGAACGACACTAGAATCAGTCCAAGCATGGACGTTGGCCTTTGGAATACTTAACACTGCGGAAATTTCTTGTAGTAACTTGGCTAATAGAACAGCACCACATAGCTCCAAACGAGGTATGGATATTTGCTTTACAGGGGCGATCCTAGATTTAGAAGCCACCAAGCTAATATGAATATCACCGTTACAGTCTACAGATCTAATATAGACAACGGCAGCGTAAGCTGAGTTAGAGGCATCCGAAAACCCCTGCAGCTCCGTGTGAAGATCGTTTCTACTAGTCCTTATCCACCTTGGAAGACGATAATTGGTGAGATGAACAAGATCCTTGCGGTATAAGAGCCAATCTTGAAGAATATCCGAGGGTATCTCATCATCCCATCCTATACCAGCAAGCCATATTCTCTGGATAAAGACCTTAGCAGTTGTTATAACAGGTGCAATCCAACCAAGCGGATCGAACAATCTTGCAATATCCGATATCACTCTACGTTTAGTCACAGGTGTTTGAAGTTCAGGAAGGTTTACAGTGTATTGAAACTCGTCACTAGATTTATTCCATGTTAATCCTAATATTTTGATAATTGTATCCTGTTTCATTTCTAGGTATTCTTTTGTTGGAGTTTCTCCTTCCTGTATTTGTTGCAGCAATTTTTTGTCACTACAGGTCCATTTTTGAAGCTCAAATCCTCCGAGACTAAGAAGTTCGCTCATTTGACGGTAAATCTGAAGGCCTTCCTCGACGCTTTCGCAACCTGACATCAGATCATCCATATAAAACTCCTTTAAAACTCTATTCGCTGCTAAGGGGTACTTATCGCCTTCATCGCACGCTAGCTGTTGCAAAACTGGTACAGCCAAGTAAGGCGCTGAGGATGTACCGAATGTGACCCGCAATAACCTAAGATGTTGAAGTTCTGCATTTGAATCTCTACGCCATAAGAGGCGTTGAAAATCAACATCTTCCTCAGACACTTTCACTTGTCTGTACATCTTTACAATGTCGGCAACAAGACATACAGGATAACAGCGCCAGTACATAATAATATGCCTCAAATCAGGTTGGAGAGTGGGGCCAACCAGCATATCCTTATTCAATGAAGTTCCATTATCTAGTTGGCACGACGCGTCGAAGACAACCCTTACCTTTGTGGTGGTTTTATCATTACGGATTACCGCGTGGTGTGGTAAATAAACGGCATTGGATTTGCTTATCTCTGCTTCCGGAACCACCTCCATGTGTCCAAGCGACAAATATTCAGAAATGACTTCCGAGTATTTAATTTTTAGGTCCGGGTTGTTAAGCAACCTTTTCTCCAAATATAAAAATCGTTTACGAGCAACCTCAAAGGAATTACCATACTGACATTCTGGATCATTTGATTTAAATGGCAACTTTACCACATAACGACCCGACGAATCTCTTTTAAAGGTTTTTGTAAAGAACTCTTCGCAGGCTTGCTCTTCTTCAGATAAATATTTATTGTTATCAGAAGATGTCTCCTCTAGCTCCCAAAACTTTTTCAATAGACTATCAATAGATAATTGAGTATGCATGCTTAGGATTTTATCTTGATTCTTAGATCGTGGTTCATGGGTTTGTGGAGAGTGTATACAGCCAGAGAGGATCCAAC